ATCGTTGTCAGCCTGGGATTCCACATCAGCATTCACATTTCGACCTAGATCTCGTGTTTTTGTGTCAACTGAGGGCTGAAAGTAATTGGAGCAGAAGTTTGATACCTCTTCAGTGAGATAAGTGTTGCATATGGAACCTTCAACACGAGCCTTATTACCAATTTTTCGTTTCAGGTGATTAAGGAACCTGTAATTATGTCTATGTAGCCGTAGAAGTATAAGTAACGGAAATCAATTAAAGAGATGAAAGTAAGAGTTGAGAAAGGACCTTTGATTTACCTTTCGAAAGGATACATCCACCGATATTGAACAGGTCCACATAACTTGCCCTCATATGGCAAATGAATTGGTAAATGCTCCATGGAGTTGAAGAAAGATGGGGGGAAAACCTTCTCAAGCTTGCACAGGATCTCAGCTATGTTTTTTTCCAATCGCTCCATGTCGCTAACTGTAATTGTGTAGCAACATAAATCGTGAAAGAATTGGCTTATCTCTGTAATTGCATTCCATATATGGGTAGGGAGAAATTCTCTCAAAGAAGTGGGCAACAACCTCTCCATGAACACGTGACAATCATGACTTTTCATTCCATGTAACTTACCTGATTGCAAATCAACGCATCGGCTCAAATTGGAAGCGTAACCATCAGGAAACCGCAGCTGTTTGACCCACTCACACAAAACCTTTCTCTGAGCCTTGTCAAGAGCAAATGGAGCCTTTGGCATGAATTATTTTCCTCTATCATCCTCTTGAAGATGTAGCTGGGGCCGTTTACAGTATTTAGCAATGTCATTCCGAGCTGATGGCGTGTCACAAGATAGCTTTTTCACGTCCATTATAGTGTGAATCAACTGATCAAAAAAGTTTTTTTCAACGTGCATGACATCTAAGTTGTGACGAACAAGCAGATGTTTCCAATATGGAAGGTCCCATAGAGTGATTTGATTGAACCACCCTTTTTTTGCATTCTTGAGACGTTTTAGTGCCTCGGGGCCATATGTTGCTTTTGGGAGGTTTTTCACACATTCCCAAAGTTCCTCTCCTGACATGATGTGAGGTGGTGAACCCTTTTCGACTTTGTTTTTACAAAATGCATTTTTACTATTTCGAAAAGGATGATTTGTCGGAAGGAATTGACGATGGCAGTCAAACCAAGAAACCTTACCACCATTTTCGAGCCAAAATGCTTTGCTTTTCTCCATGCAATATGGACAAGCCTTCTTACCGGCTATGGTCCAACCAGATAACATACCATAAAGCCGGGAAGTCACTAACGGTCCATAGGATGGCTGCTCGAAGATTGAAATTTTGTTTTCTCGAAATATCGTAAGTATTTGCCCCAACTTCCCACAACTGTTTCGACTCGTGTATGAGCGGATACATGTAAACATCCAAGTTGCCCTTAGGGTTTTTAGGACCAGGAACGAGTAACAAAAGAAACATGAACTGTCTTTTCATACACATTGACGGAGGCAAGTTATAAGGGGTCAAAATGACAGGCTAACATGAATACTGTCCCCCAAACTGACCATGTGGAGCAAATCCATCCGTACATAGGCCAAGTCAAACATTACGAGGTTCAGAGGCAAACTCAGGAAAGCAACTATCTAGGTGTTTCCACGCTTCACTATCGCTAGGGTGTGCCATTGTGCCTTGAACTCCAGGATTTTTAGCATGCCATGTCATTTCCTCAGAAATGTTTTTAGTTGCAAAAAGCCTTTGCAACCTAGGTGTGATAGGGAAATAAAAAAGAACATTCAAAGGCACTAAGCTACCTTTAGAAGTCTTCTTGTATCGGTCGCTGCCACACACCCTACATGTAGATAATTGAGCATCATCTTTCCAAAACAACATACATCATTTCGAGCATGCATGAATCTTTTCATGGGGCAGCTCTAACCCCTTAACAATTTTCTTGACCTCATAGAATGTCTCGGCCATGTGGTTGTTGTTAGGAATCGCTTCATTAACCAAAGAAGCAAATCCATCAACACATCTGTGCGGCAAATTATACTCACACTTTAGGCTAGTGATTCTAGAAGCCATCTCTAACACAGACAATGAACTCCCTTCATATAATGGTTGTTCAGAAACCCTTAACAAATCAAAAAATGGCTTGGCCTGTGCATTAGGCTCCTCCTCTAATGAAACAGCTGGCTCTTCGGAATGGCCTTGATCTTGAGACTGACCAAAGGCATCCAAAATCATTTCACGATATTCATTTGACTGCCTTCTACGAGTTCCTGGAAACCCTTCCCCATGACACATCCACTCGTAGTAATTAGGTAAAAAAACCGCTGCGATACAAATGAAGTTTGACCGTATCTGGATCCCAAAGACGTTTGTTTTTGCATTTAAAACATGGACACCTAACTTCATTCGGGTTGCTACTCTCGGGATGATATTCCACATATTTAAGGAATTCATCTACCCCCTTCAAGAACTCAGGATTAATAGAATTCCCAACCTTCCTTTCTTACATCCAGCTACGTTCTTTTCGTTTCATGATTACAAGTTCTACACAACTAACACATATGCCATTAATCACATTAGTCATAAAGCACAATATATATTCATTATAGATCAAACTGTTAAGGAAATTCAAATGAGAAGAGAAATGATTTCCAAGGGTCCTTATCACTCCAACCTAACCCATCCTTGTACGTTCAATCTCACTAGTGAATGTATGCCAGAATTTCAATTCTATGGAAAATCCAGCAGCATCTCCCTACAGTTCCCCGAGTACACAATATAGGCGATTAGAAACACCTATATATGTACCTAGAGAGCATTGTAGAGCAATGACAAGCAAGGATCTTCCTTAGAGTTAAAACAAAGGAATACATTCACCACCTAAGTGAGAATAAACGTATAAGGACAGTCCCAACCGGGGACTATTCAAGACATACTCCTAATGTGTATGCCTTGAATGGGTATCTAGGCATATGATTGTGCAAATGATTTTTTTAAAAATATATATACTTACCTAACATACATAATATTAAACAAATATATCAAGATTAAACTAAACAAGAGAAACAAATCAAACCAAACCAAAGTAAACTAATATATCATATTAAACTAAACCAAACCAAACTACCGTTTTATATCTTAAATTAAACTAACATATTTCTAAAAAAACTAAACTAAATTAAGATACTTTATATTAAAATAAATTAAAAACACATTATATTAACATAATATTAACTAAACTACATTATGTTAAACTAAACTAAACCAAACTAACATTGTTTTTTTTTTTAAAGATCAAGGGAGCAATTAATTAATTATAAGATTTATTTAAAAAAATATATACTTAACTAACATACATAATATTAAACAAATATATCAAGATTAAACTAAACAAGAGAAACATATCATAACACCATACTATTAATATAAACCAAATCAAACCAAACCAAAGTAAACTAATATATCATATTAAACTAAACCAAACCAAACTACCGTTTTATATATTAAATTAAACTAACATAATTCTAAAAAAACTAAACTAAATTAAGATACTTTATATTAACATAATTCTAAAAAAATTAAACTAAAACACATTATATTAACATAAACTTAACTTAACTACATTATGTTAAACTAAACTAAACCAAACTAACATTACTTTTTTAAAGAGAAGGGAGCAATTAATTAATTATAAGAGATGACCAATGTGAATAAATTAACCAAACTAACCTACATACATACATTATAATTAAAACCCAACACACTGTCTAATAACCAAAGTAACATACACACATACATTATATTAGGGTTTGTAATGTAATTAGGGATGTCAGTAGGGCGGGTCTAGTAGGAGACCCGCCCCATCCCCGCCCCAATGGGGCGGGGATGGGTCTAGCTTTGGCGGGTCGCGGGGCGGGGATGGGTCTAAACTCCATACCCGCCATGGGTGATGGGGCGGGGGTGGATTTTAGGCAATACCCGCCCCATCCCCGCCCCGCCCCACCTGACCCGCCCCATCCCCGCCCCGCCCTGCCTGACCCGCCCCATACCCGCCCCAGCCCCGCCTGACCCACCCCATACCCGCCCCATACCCGCATTATACCCGACCCACCCATATGTACATATATATCATTAATTTATTTATTATGTATACAGGGAAAAAAAATAATTAATGAAGTTTCTGGAAAAAAGCCACACATTCTCAATTTCTCATTCTCAAACTTTCAACCCTAGCCATCACGTATTCAGGCAGTCAGGCTCACTTTCTCCTCCGTTTCCCACTTTCTCCTCTCAGGTTGTCACGTTACTTCCACCTCTGAGGCTGTGAATCTCGTCGCCGGTCAACGAAAAATCCGACCAGAAACTCGACCAGGTAATCTCTCTAACTCTCTCTCTCTTTTTTTTCCCCCAATTATTTTTTCCCTTACCATTTTATCTTATGAAAAATAAATGAACTAATTAACTAAGAAATTAAGAAGCCATTAAGATTTTGGATGCTTAAAACTACAAGTTTGAATGTTTGATTATGTATGAGTTAATTTAATTGATTTGCGTCTGTGAGTATGTCCTAGGTAACAAAACCATTTTTTTTTTGATGAAAAATAATTTGATTAATTACTTGAATAATTTGCTATTATGTTTGATTACTTGTTTTTTGAGTTGCATGATATTGATATAATTGATCTGTCTATTTGCATTTTATTTTGTATTTGTATGACGATAGTGGGGGGTTCAAGGGTATTTGTATAATTTGTATTTGATTTGTCTAGTTGCATGATATAGAATAATTTGTACTTGTATGTTCAATTATGTCTACTGTTAACCATAGATGTTTGATAATTTCAAAGTATATGTTGATAATTTGTATTTGTATGGGAAATTGGGAGGTTCAAGGGTCAGATACTTGTAGGATATCTTTTTTTAAGTACACTAAAGGATTATGTGTTGACTTGTTGAAAGTAGTAGTTTAATTTGTTCATGAATTGACCATTAAATTACTGCAATTTATTTTAGAGGAGAACCGGAGAATGACATCAAAAAATGACAATAATGTTAGTGTTCCCACTTCCGCTAGTAATACTCCAATTACATTGGATGACGATGAAAGTCCCGTGGAGACTAATTCCGATCCTTCTGTCCTACCAATAACTAGTAGGCATACTTCAGCAGTGTGGTCTGATTTTAAGAGAAAGAGGGCTGGTGATGCAGTAAAAGCTGAATGCAACCATTGCTCTAAGCTACTTGCCGGTGGGTCGAAAGCAGGGACTACTCATTTGAAAGATCATTTAAAAATATGTCCAAAGAGAGTATGTCAAGATATTCGACAATCAAGATTGTTTGGTACACAAAAAAACTTGAATGATAAGAATGAAACGATGACATTGGCCCCTTATGAATTCCACCAAGAAGATGGAAGAAGAGACTTGGCGGAGATGATTATTTTGCATGAGTATCCAATTAGCATGGTTGAACATATGGGTTTTAGAAAGTATAGCAAGACACTCCGACCTGGATTTAAAGTGCCATCTCGCAACACAACAAGAAAAGATATTATGAAAAGATATGAGCTTGAGAAGGAGAATGTTGCAACCTTGTTGAGGAAAGCAAAGGGCAAGATTGCCTTAACTACTAACATGTGGACTGCTGACAACCAGAGAAAAGGTTATATGGCGGTCACCTCACATTTCATTGATAATACATGGAAGTTGCAAAGTCGGATCTTAAGGTATTGTTTTCTAGTTACTTATAACTTGTTTATTTTTTTGGTTGCCTTTGTATTGTTATAGTTTTTTGTGTGAGATTTAAAATGAAAACATACCTTTATATTGATGTTCCCTGGAAAATATCATAGTAATTATAAGTGATGATGATAGGTTTTTATATGTCAATTTCAATGGTTTTGTTAGGTTTTTATATGTCCCTGCCCCTCATACTGCCGAGGTCCTTGCTGATGCATTGAAAGAAAGTATTCAATCATGGAATCTTGATCTTAGGTTGTCTTCTATAACTGTGGATAATTGTTCGACTAATGATGCAATGATGGAAATTTTGAAAGGAGTGTTTCCATATAGCTCACTTTTATTGCGAGGTGATTTTTTTCATATGCGTTGTTGTGCTCACATTTTAAATTTGATTGTTCAAGATGGTTTAAGTGTTGTGGTATCAAATGGTGTTCAAAGGATTAGGGATAGTGTTGTGTTTTGGACTGCTTCTGATAAGAGAGTACAAAGGTTTGAACAAGTTGCTAAGCAAATAGCTCCTGAGTGTACTAGAAAGTTAGCACTTGATTGCAAAACTCGGTGGAATTCTACTTATGAAATGTTTTCTATTGCTATTTGTTATAGAGAAGTGTTTGTTGTTTTAAGTGCTCGAAATAATTTATATAAGAATCCACCGACACCTGAAGATTGGGAAAAAGTTGAGAAAATATGTGAACATTTAGAAGTGTTTAGTAAAACTACCCTTAACTTTTCAGGAACAAATTACCCTACTGCCAATCTTTATTTTCCTAAAATTTGTGCTTTGAGAATTGCTATTTCTGGTTGGCTTTTATCTCCTCATGATTATGTAAGGAAAATGGCCGACATTATGTTGCTGAAATATAACAAATATTGGGCTAATGTGAATGGTTTAATGGGAGTGACAACAATACTAGATCCTAGATACAAAATGGCTCTTATTCGGTTTTATTTTGCAAAAAATTTTGATGAGCATGACTTTGAAATTGAGGTTGGTAGAATTAGTGATCTTCTACGAAGATTGGTTGAAGAATATGGCTCTAAGATCGGTAAAACTCAAGGTAGTAGTAGCCAACAACCTTTTGATTTGGGTAGTAGTAGCAAAGCCAATGAAGAGGCCTTTATGCAAGAATTTGCAGAATTTTTGCAACAAGATAAGGATCCAAGTCATGAAATTTCTGAATTGGATAAGTATTTAGATGCTGCTAATGTGCCTCTAGTCCAAGATTTTGATATTCTTGATTGGTGGAAGAAAAATGGAGGCACATATCCCATTCTTCAGCAAATAGCCCGAGATATATTGAGCATTCCTGTTTCTACTGTTGCATCGGAGTCCGCATTTAGCACAAGTGGTCGGGTTCTTAATCCTTATCATACTCGGCTTTTACCGGAAGCAGTCGAAGCTTTGATGTGTACTCAAAATTGGATATGGGCAACTCTTAAAGGTAGATAGCTAAAATAACATTTTATTTAATTACTATTATTATTATTTTTTTTTAATTAAGTCACATTGTTGTATTTGCAGATTGTGGAGAATTCAAGAATGATGAGTATGCTAAATTAGTGGGTGAATTAGAGGAAGAATTTGAAACATGGGATATCGATTCCGCAACAAGTGGAGTTTGCACCGAATAATTCAAGGCCTAATGGATTTCTTATTATGTATTTTAATATTTGTAAACTTGTCGTATTTTTAATTTTGGACTTTGGACAATTTGAGTTACTGTTTTTTTTTCAATGTGTGAAGTATGTACTGGTGAACTGCTTTCTTTGTATTTGAGTTGTAGGCTTGACTGCTGTAGTATAGATTTTTTTTTTTTTTTTTTTTTTTTGGAATAGATTTAAATATATTATTTGTTGTGGAGTTCAGATGGGGATTTGGTGGGTATGGGGCGGGGATATGGGCGGGGATTTGGTGGGTATGGGGCGGGGATTATGTGGGGCTAAAACGGGGATGGATATCCACATGGGGATGGGGCGGGGGTGGTTTTGAAGTTAGACCCGCCGGGGCGAGGATGGGGAAAATTTCCAGACCCGCCGTGGGGATGGGGGTGGGGATGGGGATGAAAATGGGAGGCGGGGATGGGGATGGAAATGCCAAAACCCGCCCCGCCCCGCCCCGTTGACATCCTTACACATATTGGAGTTAAATTGGACAGTACAATGAGCATCATCAATTAATTGTGATACAGAAATTAGATTGCAACGTAAATCGGGGACAAATAGGACATGCTTAAGAACAATTTTAGATGATAGACGAACTGAGCCTTCCTTCGTGGCATTCACTGTTTTGCCATCCGGGAGACCAACCGGACAATGTGAGATGTGACTCGTATCAAAAAGCCATATGTCATCACAAGTTACATGCCTAGAAGCCCCTTTGTCAACGATCCACAAGGTATTATCAAACTCACCGTTCAAACGTTCGTCGGGAATTTGAGTGTTACCAATAAAACCAGCAATTGCCCTCCACTGTTCTGCTGTGAAAGTCTGAGAGGAACCCCCTATTGAATCTGCCTTATTAGCTGCTGTAGCATTCGGACGAGGAGGAGCCCGAGCTTTAGAGCTGGTCTATTGCGGTTTGCCACGTTTTGAAGGGTTCGGTCACCAATCTGGGTACCCTTTGAGTTCAAAACAATCAGAAATTACATGGCCATGTTTCTTGCAATGGTTACAGTGAAGACCGGACTTATCTGACTTCTCATCAGAGGCTGCTGTCCTTTGTTTTTTCCGGTGCTGGTTCAAAGAGAAAACCCCACTGCCTCGGATGTCTTCTCATCAGGGGTTTGCTTGGCGATTCGTACACGTTCGTCTTACACAACCAACTGGTACGCCCGATCAAGAGTCGGCAAAGGGTCTTGAGATAATATATTAGTACGAGTCTGAGTATAATAATCAGTACATAGGCCCATCAAGAACTCATGGAGTCGAGTATTTTCACGACGTTTTTCATGCTCCACACCTGCTATACACGTCTGGCAGCAAGCACAAGTAATGAGCGGCTCATGGTTGTTTAATTCCTCCCATAGAGCCGTCAATTTTCCAAAATAGGAGGCCACTGACATAGTCTTCGTTTGCTCACACAGATTGGAACACCATTCATGCCATGTTGATATCATGTCAAAGTAATTAGGGCTCAAAGCTTAAGCCTCATTCATTGATTGATCTTTCAATATATAGAGTACATAGTTTCCTAAAGTCTAGCAAAATAATATTCTCAAGATAAATCTTGTGCCTATAAACTAGGAAACTAAATATACGATAAATATCACAAAGATATGATAATATTCCTAACAGTTACGGACCATGGGCTTAGAGTTAATAGGTGACAGGCCACCATCAATGTTTTGCACAAAGGGCCAAAATAAAAACTTGACTCCATTTCATCATTCGACAAATGATTACCTGCTTGTCTCAGCCTCCTTCTTGGAACATTCACCTGAGTTGAGATTATGAAAGTTGGGTCATCGAGTTTGAAGATTTATTTTATCTGTTAGATTTTGTGTAAACTCCTCAGAATGGAGTGATTCCATTGATCAAATATACATAGGGTTACAATAGTGAGCCTTAAACACGTTAAGAGATCTCACAAGATAATTACAGAATATTAACAAACTATATCCTTCTATACAAAATAATAACGAGAATATTTATCATATTCTAACACACCCCCGCAGTCTTAGCGGGAGGAGGACGTACGCTGAGACTGGTTCGAAATTCCAGAAATAGTTGTCGAGGTAGGCCTTTTGTGAAGATGTCAGCAAACTGATAACGTGAAGGAACGTGCATGATCCGTACATGCCCCAACACCACCTTTTCTCGAACGAAATGAATGTCCATTTCGATGTGCTTGGTACGTTGGTGTTGTACGGGGTTATGAGATAAATAAATGGCACTGACATTATCACAATAAACAACGGTGGCCTTTCTAAGAGGACACTGTAACTCCAAAAGAAGATTACGAAGCCAACATGCCTCGACAACAACATTTGCTACGCCACGATATTCTGCCTCTGCACTTGATTTAGAAAGAGTAGGCTGACGCTTAGAAGACCAAGAAATGAGATTGTCACCTAGAAAACAACAATACCCTGAGGTCGAACGACGAGTGTCAGGACACCCGCCCCAATCTGCATCAGTTTAAGTAATCAATTGCGAGGATGATGAAGGATATAAATGTAACCCGTGATCAATGGAGCCCTGAATATAACGCAGTATGCGTTTCAATGCATCATAGTGAGCCTCTCTGGGGTCATGCATGAATAAGCAAACCTGCTGAACTGCATAAGCAATCTCAGGGCGAGTGAAAGTCAAATACTGAAGAGAACCTGCAAGACTGCGATATAGTGTTGGATCATGAAATTTAGGCCCTGTCTTTGCACTGAGCTTGGATTGGGTATCCACTGGAGTCGTCGCAGGTTTACAACTAGCTATACCTGCGCGCTCTAAAATTTCCTGCGTATATTTCTGCTGTGACAAAAACAAGTATGATGGAGTACGAATGACAGCAATGCCCAGAAAAAAATTCAGAGGACCTAAATCAGTCATTAGAAATCCTGTAGCAAGTGATAGATGATTAGCTCACATAAAAAATCTGAGGATGTGACCAACACAATATCATCAACATATAATAGAAGGTATGCCATATCATTTCCGTGTCGAAAAATGAATAAAGAATTGTCACTCTTAGAAATGACAAACCCCATCTGCAAGAGAAAGTTAGCAAACCGTTGATACCAAGCCCTAGAGGCTTGTTTTATATCATAAAGAGCCTTACGGAGTCTGCAAACATAGCCTGGAAATCTCTTGTCAACAAAACCGGGGGGTTGATGCATATACACACACTCTTTCAAATCACCATGTAAAAAAGCATTTTTTAACATCAAGTTGATGAATAGCCCACTTACGAGTCATAGCCAAGCTTAGCACCGTGCGAATAGTGGCCGGTTTCACAACCGGACTAAAAGTTTCATCACAATCCACTCCTTCAACCTGTTATTTACCATTGCAAAGAAGACAAGCTTTGTGTCGTTCCAAATCACCATTAGAATTCAATTTATGACGAAAAAGCCACATACAATTAACAATATTCACCCCCGTAGGCCTAGAAACCAATTCCCATGTCCCCGTATTAATTAAAGCACTATATTCATCACGCATCGTAGCATTCCGATTTGGGTCGGAAAGGGCTTGTTTGTGATTTTTGGGAAGCCGGGAGCGGATTATTGGATGACTCGGGGTGGTAATGGCAAGGCCGAATTTTGGGTTCGGTTTAAATATGCTGTGTTTGGAATGTGTTTGCATTTGAGGAGAGGGAGGTGGACGAGTTGGTGTGATAAGGGTGCAGCCACGAAGTGGGGGAGGTGTGTAGGCAGGGGGTGTCGAGCCAGCAGTGCGCGTGGCTGGGCTGTGTGGTGCAGCAGCACTGTCCGAGCCAGCAGAAGGCGTGGCTGGGCTGCCTGGCTGCACTTCCAGGCTCGGTGTGGGGCTGTGCGAAGCAGCTGCTATGGTTGCCAGCTCTGCCTGGCCAGCAAAAAGCGGGGCAGCAGGGCCACATAGGCTGGTCAGCGAGTAGGCTGCGGTGTGAGGCAGAATGTGACAGGGTAAAGTCGTATCCCCTAATCAAAATTAAATACCTAAATCCTCTAACTAAAGTAGATAGGGAAGTAGGGTCGATCTCCACAGGGAAACAAGTCTTTTTACTCCTAATTAATTATTATAATCTAAATTATCTAAGTAACCAATATTTACATTTGAGTATGAAACTAAACTACAAAGAATAGGAGTAGAGGGAAAACAATTTATAAAAGGATCTAGAGCATAGGTTCACCAATAAATAATACTCCAGGGTAAAACATAATAATCAATCTTCAATGCATAAATTAATCAGATTATAAAGGGCTTTCGCTACGTATTATAATCACACAATTAATTTACCGGTATTAAATATCATCTTTCGAATCTCGACCTAACCATTTATAAATTAACCTGCCTATTGAAACTAGACCTAAACATCAATTCTCATCTGTCGAATCTCGAATCAATATTGTTAAACTCATGCATAAAACATCTGCGCAAATCTAGTCACATAGCATTAAATCAATCAATAGAAAATTAATCTAACATTGACAATTAACAATAATAAATTACCCCTTCATATTATTTATGGATCCCCACAAACCCTAGAAATAAAACTACTCACACATATTTAAAACTAAACAAATCAAAGCAATAAAATAAGTCATGATGGAAGGAAATAAGATTAAGAGAAGAGAAATCGTTACCAAACTAATCTGTATTAATGGAAATAATCAAGAACAAGAGTTGAGAGAAGAGTTAAGAGAGAGAAAAGATCCTAAGTAGAGAGAGAAAGTCTAAGAAAGAAGATCATCTAAAAATTCCGTACAAAATCGTATTTAAACGTTTTTCTAAAACAAAAATTAAAACTAAACATCATCAGGTCTTCTAGAAACGCGCGCCCGATCAGGCGAAGGGCCGCCCGATCGGGCGCGCCTTTTTCTTCGCGTTCTTCCCAAGCAGCATCGCCCGATCGTGCTAGATGCTCGCACGATCGGGCGCGCCTTAGCATGCACAACACTATGGTTTGCCGCGCCCGATCGGGCTAGAGGTTGCCCGATCGGGTCTTTCCTCCCCTTGAGGCTTGGACTTCGATTGGGCTAGATTTCTCGGCCCAATCCGGATTTCCTCTTGGGTCTCGAATACTTGGTCCAAATGCCTCGGGATCCCAATTACCGAGCCCTTAATACCGGCTCTCACCGATCCTGGGCTCCAAAAGTGGTCGCGTCCTTCTATCTTCCGTAGTTTATCCATAAAGCCCGGGAAAATGCTCTAAGAGTGCAATTTCCTGTAAAATACAACTAAAACTACGAAAACACTAGAACACACAAATTAGTAATAAAAGTGGCCCGAAAGAGCCAAAAACACTACTAATAACGACCAAGGGACGGGGGTAAAACACTATATAAAATGGACATATCAAACTCCCCCAAGCCAAACCTTTGCTTGTCCCTAAGCAAAGATCTCATCAATGAATCAATAAATACGCTTCACCCCAATCCATAAAAATCAAGCACAAATGATTCAGGGTAAATAAAATAAACATGCT